CTGCTTCAGGAGTAACGTTAATATCACGTGGTTGTTTGTTTACCTTTGACGACCTTGACGTATGTACTACTACAGTAGTATGGCGTTGCATTACTCCATGCAGAGGCACGTTGAAGTCGTCCAACGATAGCTGATACCTTGCAAGCGGGCAAGATCGTGGGGGCGGCATGGATGCTTACAGTCAACATTGATACCTGAAATACTAACCTAGTGTAATAGTACATGACTACTGTATGGTGTTCCATCGTGACATAATTGTACTCATATCTAAAGGAGTTAATTTGTAATTACATAACCCGATGTACAATATCAATGAGTTGTTTTGTTATACATAACCTGATTTTCAAGTACAGTTAGTTGCTTGCAACTAAGTAACCGTGCCGGTACTCAAGACCGCCACTGCAGCGGTGTGGATTCCGACGTCTGCCAGTGACCTGCAGATGCGGTTGTGTGTGGTCGCGCATTTTGGTGTGGGAGGACACCGTGGGACCAACGCGATGAAGCAGATCCTGGTGGATCGATTTTGGTGGTCCGACATTGGCTCGGACGTGTCGTACTTTGTTGGCCGTTGTTCGCATTGTGCCAGTACGGGTGGTCATGTCTTGCGCCCGTTTGGTGCAACGGCGCATGCCACAAAGCCCAATGAAATCCTTCTTTGGGATTTTCTCTACATGGATGGTGGCTACATCCTTGTGGTCAAGGATGATTCTAGCCAGTTCAAGTGGTTGTGGGAATCCGACTTGGCGAACGCGCAAGTTGTGGCGCGTTGTTTGCTGCAGTGGTTCTGTGTTATCACTGGGTGAGTGACCAGGAATCCCACTTCAAGAACGAGGTGATTGCCGAGCTCAAGCATGTGCTGGGGGTACATCATCATTTTACAACGGCCAGATGTCCGTGGGCGAACGGAACAGTCGAAAGTGTGACGAAAACGACCCTCAAGGCGTTCCGAGCACTCCTGTCCAAGTGGTTGATGCAGCCAGACCAGTGGCGGCTGATTATCCCAGTGGTGGTGTTGGTCCTTAACCAAAGTCCGTCCGACACACTCGGTGGTCTAGCACCGAGTGTGTCGCCCTTGGATCGCATTGCAATTCCGGCGGTGAAGCAAGTTACGAAATCCAAGATTTGGTGACGGGGGTGGTCCGTGAAGCCCACAGTAGTCGTCTGAAGTTTTACGCCAACAACGCCTTGGATGTGACGGAAGAACGGCTGCGCCACATTGCGCACAATGCCGACGGCCATGTGGTCGACCAGTTCCTCGACTGTCGCTACAACGATCCTTTGGTCGCGTTTGAAGTGGGCGTACGCTGGCGCGGTCTATAAGAAATTGAAGACTCGTGGGAGCCGGTGGCCAATTTGTTGGAAGACATTCCATCTGAGATCAAGCGCTACGTGCGCTCAAACAAGGCCGATCCCCAAGTCAGGGCGATAGCAACTGCGTTGGGCGTGACGAAATCGTTAGGAGGGATTGTTGCGAATTTGCCATTCGCAGAACCCCTGAACCCCTCCCAAGAAGGTATCCAAGTGTTCGATTAGGTTGGATATCATGGGTGTGATCCTAT